TTGGGCGGGCACTGTGAAAAATGGAGCAACGGTTGTTAAATAAAATCAAAGTGTCACACATTCGAGTTGTGCTGTAAAACAAATGTCGAGATCATGAAAAACTGTTGTTGTCGCAGTAAAACCGGAACCGGTGCCCACGGATGAGACATCAGTAAATTTTGTGAGGCATCCGCTCAGTGAGGATGAACTTGGCGTGTTTGGAACTTTGTGTGTGCTCTTTGGAGAACACCACAGAAGGGCAACTGGAATGCCAATTTTCCACTCTTGCTTTGTGAGAAAATTGATTTCAAAATACAGCCTGCACTGGAATCACTAGTCAAGCTCTTCGATTCCATGGTAAGTGAACAGACTTTTTTTTTTTAAACAAATGTCTCCAAGCCCCTCAGGATGGTGAAGATGAACAAATACAACGATTCAAAACAAATTTGGCCCAACCAAGATATTAACGCTGTACAAAAAGATGTGTGACTCCAAAAGATGACTGCAATCAAGGGTGTCTTTGTAACTTTTATCAATGTTTTTGGAACTGTGCGAAATTCCAGAAAAAGCCAAGACACTTCAGGGGAAATCCCAAAAGATGTTCCTCTAGATGACATTGACGCTAAGTCTTTACGAAGCACATGTTCTCGTCAGTGGCTTTTCTTTGCTGCGATCTTCCAACAGATATGTATGAGTTGAACTGGATGTATAGTGGCGTGGTTGTACTCTGCAATCGCGTAGAACTGCACGGCATCATGTTGACAACCGTTTTAGTTGGCTAGGGTGGACACAATTTTAACCCTTTGAGGGACAGCGGTGACTACAGTGGACAGCTTACCATGTTATCAGGTTACAGGGTGCAGGAAAGGGTTAAAAATGCAAATTTTAAAGTCAGCAAGAGAGTTAAAGCCAGGCATACCTGAGTGTTAAATAAGGTAGAATGGAATTTGAAAACTGATATCGGACAGATAACCAGCAGCGAAAGCAGTTGTCATGCTTATCTCCTCAAGAGTCATACATTTTACGAATTTCTCCATTGTGAGACAAATAAAGGTTTTCTTCTTCTTCTTCATAAACCGTGTGTCAAACTTAGCTTCTCCCTCAGCATATTTTCAGTGTTATAATGTGGGACCGGAACGACGAGAGGTAAACGACACAGCCAGCTTCCAATGGCTGCCAGGAAAGAGCAAAAAAGGGTTGGATCATGGTGAGTAAATTGAGCAACAGCTGGTGAAGTGTCAACCAAGATAGCATTGAGCATTTGCCCAAGGTATAACACAACACCAGATTGACTAGCAATGTTCAAACTTTTTTTTTTCCATCTGTCAGAGGATCCCCCTCCCCCTGCTCGAAGCAACCTTTGTGTGGTTGCACAATGAACAATAGTTGGTTTTTATCTGATAGTTCATGTCCAGTACATAATAGCAATAAATCTATCAAATAAATATACAGTGCCATTACAATAAACTATTTAACATAACACACAAAAATAATGCAAAAATAATCCATTTGGTCCGAAAATATGTCACAAAATGGCAATTTTTCTTCCCTTTTTTTTTAGGCAGTAAGATCGCCATACAACCAAATCTCTGAACATAGCTACAGTATTTTCCATGACTTCCTATTTCATATTGAACGTGTGGAAAAATATAAAGAATAAGAATGAAATGGAGCATCAACAGTGTCAACGTAATACAGTGATGTGATCAAACATTTAGGATTTTCACAGACATAATGGCCCTTTGAGGGAAACCTAAAGTATGTTGCGGCTTGTGGTTAAAATGAGTTTGACAACCATGTTTACATAATTGGCCACATTATAATAAGGCCGATGGATCATCTGATGGATTCTGGTCATCGTCCCGATTGGTTGTAGTAAGCTATTGCATCTTTCGTCATGCTCGTGACCAAATTTCCATGTCATTTAAACACAACCAATAAAGCATTCAAATCGAACTCAGTCCTGTGGCCCAGTTTTCTCAATACCCATCTTTGATGAGAGCCCAGATTTGAACTATAAAGCTTCAAAAAACAGACAATTTGGGGCTTTTTCCCCCTCATGTTGAATTTATAAACTGATAACTGTTTATGAATCACTTTTTTTAAAATTGAAAAATCAAAAAACAAACAACACATGGATTCTCTCCTCCGACTGCAAAAGTTGTGGCCAGTAATTGAGTTTTTGGCAACATTGTTCGCAGCACGGAATCCGTACAGTGAGATTGTAATTGGAGGTATCTGTAGCTTAAGTACAACATATTAAAGACCCGCGGGACGGGGTGACTCTCATTCATGATAAGTCAGAAAAGTTCCCTTTCGTCTCTCTTCAAAAATCCCGCCACATCACACAACAGACGCGTCCCAAAACAACAACATGACACTTTGCCGACCCGCTCTCCCTCCCACCTGCCAAAGAAAGAGGAAGAAGAGATGACAGCAGCTTTAGATCTGACATCAAACGTGAGTGAGAGAGGGAGAGGAAAAGAAAAAAAAATGGTACAACTGCACCGTGACAGCTTGCCGAAGAACATAGCGATGCCAAGCGAATGCGCTCTTTCGCAATGTTTTCACCGAGCATTAAAGTTTAGTTCAACGTGTCACGGTTCCGATCATCGACTTGTGAAGGGCACCAAAATAAATCAAGCAAGCACACTGGTAGTGTAGACAGATTGCAACCCGCTGACTGGGTGACAGAGAACAATGCAAAAAAAAAAATCAATGGACCAATCACAACCAAGCTTATGTTCATCGCGAAGTACTGCATGATCCCACAAAGCAAATACAGTACAGTTCGGCGATTTCCGCCGCGACCTTTGTCGACTCACGATCACCGCCGGCTCCTTATATCGCGTAGCATCATAGCAGCACGATAATGTGTAATTAAACGCGGACAAATACAACATGGCGTACGCTGTGTGCCGATCATCCATTCACAAGGGAGACAAACAAAGCGTGACTTGTGCTCTCCATCGTGATCCAATTCAATGGCCCTTTGTGTTTTGTTCAAGTCCCGCTGTTAAAAAAATCTGCTGGGACGCGGCGCTTACGCACGCACACAAACACGACCACACCACACGGCTGCGACTGGTACTCGCGGCGAGGGTGCTGGAAAAAGTGGAGTGGAATTTTTTGGGACCTTTTGGAAGAAAATTACTGACAACTGTGTATCAGATGAAAATCAAGCTATTTCGTGGTAACAAGGCTATTTTAAAAAAAAAAAAAAAAGGGGGGGGGGGCGGGGGGGGGGGGGGCAAAATGAAAGAACACCAAGTGCTGTTGTTCTTTGTTCACTGGTGCTCTTTGTTGGATTTATTGGTGGGTTCAACTGTTGTGCTTTAACAAGCCATCCACTCTGGCGTCTTTTACTATCCTACTTTCACACTTCACACGTGGGTGAAATGCAAGAAAGGGCAAAGGTTTTCCTTTCCAAACTGTACTGTGAAAGTACAGTTTAAATGTGACAAACCTAGCCATCGTGGATGCATATTCGATGGGATACGAAGGCATATTCGGTGAACCCCTGCCTGTTGGAGGTAATAGGTTCTGTAATCGGACTATATGGCGACAATGTTAGTTAGCACACCAAAGCAGCAAGCAAGTTGTTTGCTCGAAATAATTTGGTGAGTTGTTTCTTTAAGTTGTGGGGGTGTGGGGGGGACAGTTCCGTAAACTCTTATTTCTTTGTTCAAAATGCAGGAAATCCCAATTTTCACAAAGGCAAAACTAAAATAATCGAGTTGAACTGCCCGACTTGAAATTAGTTTATTTCGGTTTGTTGCCTTGAAATGTTGAGCTTAGGCCAGCCGCATACCGATCAAAGCAGCTGTAAGCGACCGAGCACATCTACATGCCCACTGCAATGGTAAAACTACAACCTTCAATTTGGGTTTTGAGGCTGCACATTGTTTTTAATAGTAAAAATGTAAAAATCAAACAAACAAAAAAAAAAATCACTTTAAAAACTACAATATCAGAGAGGCACGAACAATTCACTTTGACGTAGGACAGGAAAACTACAGTTAAATTACGTGGATTGTGATAACGATTTAAAAGCCCCCACCCCCGTGACTTCGGTGGCGCCATTGCTCCGAATTCACTCGGTTACATCCGTGCCATTTGTTGGTACAGCAGGGACAAGTGGGGTTGCTTTTTATGATGTAACCACAGAAAGATAAGCAAGAGTGGAAAGGAAAATGAAGAAACAGATGACAACACTGTGATGTGAGGACAGAGATGGGGTTCGATAATGCTCCTGATGGAATGTAGCTTGCAAACACAAAGACAGAAGGCACATCTTTGGAAAACGTCCTGCTTCTTTACGTCTTCATCTGCATTGCACATTTATTGCATTCAGTGTGTGCGTGTGTGTGTGTGTGTGTGTGTGTGTGTGCGTGCGAAACCAATCAGCGTCAACCATGTTAAACAACATCCTGAGTTCATTTATGAAAGGTTTCCACTCTTCATCTCATCCTTTTCACATTCCCTCCAGCAAACTCAGGCAGACACCTCAAGACGCTTAAGCCAAAGAATTTTTCAACCTTTGCTTTACTACATCCATGCGAGGACTTAACTGATTAGTTTAGGCAAAAAAAAAAAAAAAAAAGAAAAAAAATCAAAGCAGCCTGAACTAATAGGCCATCCCGGCCTCACCGATTGTTTTCTCAATTACTCTGGCAAGCGGCCCATTTAACAAGTTTGAGTGAGCCCAAATGCCAAGAGGCAGCGCGCGTGGGTTTCCAAGTGTGGCTGTGCGCTTTAGCGCGAGAGCTTGTGACCGCGCATATGCTTCCCTTGTGCCTGTGGGTGTATCTGTGAGAGAGAGAGCGCATGACGCTTTGACAACCGATGCCTCCCTCTTCCATCCTCGCTTACAGACCCAGCCAAACACAAACATGGGACAAAGAAGCGGACCATGTGGTAAACCGGATGCATGTGACTGAATAAGAACTCAGAAGTGAACAAATGCAAGACTCTCTTCAGTCATTTCGCTTCTTGGGCCACAGTATTTGGTATCCACTCACCGGCAGACTAGAAGGGCGGTCCTGGGAGGAGACGCCATCCAAGTTGTTGCTCTTCCCAGAATTCCCTGGGCCCGGACCTCTGGTGCCATAATTCTCTTGTTGTGCCTCCTTCAAAGAAAGAGAGAGAATTGGAAAACATGAATGAATTAGGCTAGTCAATCGATCACAATTTTTAATTGTGATTAAGGGCATGATTTCCATAGTTAACTCGTGATTCATGGCAAATTAATCGCATATTTGTATTTCTTCTGAATGTTTTTTTATAAGAGTGGACAAAGATGCTTATCTTTCTACGAATGTATTAATTAGTGCAAGGTTTCAAATCGAAGCCCAACAACTCACCCCACAACAAAATGCTTGAGAACACATCCGAACATTTAAATGCAGCATGTTGCTAGTTAAACACTGACACAAAAATCCTTACAACATACAGTATTGTTCAGTTCCAGTCCCTCAATACCATTGCAAGTACAATGTCTCAAACTTGTTTTTTTTTCCTCAATGATAGTAAGTTTTGGATTGATAAGTCCCTGGTCGAAAAAGGACCTTGACGAATAACTTCAAAATTCCGTTTCTAAAACGGCGTTTCAAAACCTCTTTTTCTTTTCCGAACTCGTCATTTGTTATTTTTTAGTAACAATTTAAATGATTTCAGCTCCTTCATTCTCACACCTTTTCATTCCCTTCAAATCGCTCCACTCTGACCATTCACTGCATAGCTTTGTTTACCTGCCAGCTCCTCCGTAGTTTTACTTGTTTTTTTTTAGTGTCTTTCGTCAATCCTAGCCTTCCACGAAGCAGCACTACACTAATCTGTTTTTTTTTCCCCCCCATCCACACAGGCTTTATTTCTCTCCAAGTCACCTTCTGTCCAAACACTTTAATCCTCCTCCTTTCGTGTGCCAATTTCTTCTTCATTGATGTCTTCTTGTAATTTAACCAATGTAATCTACATGTGTTATCTGTATGCGTGCACCACGCGTACCCTACAAGGTCAACGGGGTACACAAGTGGAGCAGCGGAGTAAACGAAGCACGGAACTTGCCAATGACCTGTCATGTGTTAAAAAAATAAATAAATAAATAATTTGTTGTCTGAAAGGAAATTTGTGTTAACTCACCATAGAATACATGCTAAATGATTTCAATATTGCTCTTATTGCACAGACAATGATTTCATTTGGAATTAGTAAAGAAATATTTGCTCTTTGGCAAGTTTTAATGTCCCCATCTGCTTACTTAGAGCAGTTCAACAAGTCTTTATACCGTAAAGGAAATATCGCTGGTGGAGGGCCAAAACCCCTTCCGTCTGTTAAAATCCATTGTTCCTGTCCTCAGTGTTCCACCGTGTAGCCTCTCGTCTCTTCTGTTTTTGGTTGCCTTTCCCTGAATTCATTGTGGGGTGGGCGTCTCCCCAATCATTGCACCTGTCTCACCGACACACCTGCCGGTTTTCCCCTCGTCAGCCACACCTTCCTCTGCAGCATTCAGGCCAATCTGAAGAGCCACCCGTTGCCAGTTCGTCAGTTACCTTCCCTGCGGCCCAGTTGTCACAACCAGCCCTCAAGTACACCTTGGTTTGCTTCCTCTGACCGAGTTTTGCTTCCTGCCTCCTTGACCTGGCCCTCTGCCCTGACAATGAACCAGTACTGAGTTCACCATGTCTGCCTGTGGGTCCTGTGCTTGTCTGAAGCAAAGCGAAACAGAATCCAAATTTGGTTGATTTCTTTTTTTTTTTCCACAAATCAATACTATTGCTTCTGACACAGATTGATATTTTACTAAAAAAAATTTTTTGACACATTATTGACCCATATGACGGGATGAAAATGCCTTCACTGAACACTACAACTCAAATTAATGAGCAAATCAAAAATTGGAATCAATGTGAGTCGTATTACACGAGGAACGACCTTTACTCGTCTTGATCCCACAACCACAATTCCTGTCTCCTTCAGAATCCACTTAACACATCCCAAGCATGGACCTGCAATGGTGCAAACAATGTACACCCCCCCCAAAAAACACTGATAGAGTGCATGCAGGGGCGTAACATTGGCAGCCCATCAGCACGCCGCATCCCCAAAATCCTTCATGCCTTAAACCCTTGCAAACAAACTCACGCAGACACAGCATTCAGTCCCTATTGTTCATTCTAAGTCATTCTCTTTCCCTCTGTAATCACAAGCCTATCTAGTGTAATGCAATTTTCTCTCCATTGTCGGAGGTGTTGCCCCCCCCCTTCCCTATCTCTGCCTCTCGCTTCATATCAGCGTCTCCTTCCCTCTCTTCCTTCCCTTTTATTCACTCCTGATGTCGTCCCTCCAAACATGTTCAGCGTCAGCAGCACAATGGCGACTTGTTATAGAGCTCCGAGTGGAAGGATTAGCGATAACCGAGAAGCAAAGGATCACACGGGCACATCTGCACAAACTTTGGCAGGCGCGGCACGTCATACGTTACATGCACAGCAGCGCATCTATTCACCGCGCGTCTTCACTTTTCTACTTCTAAAATCAGTCCGCCCCCCCGCCACTTCAAACTTATCTGCTGTGTGATTAGACTGCAGCATTCGGGCAATACTCCTGGCAGCTTTGTGGATATCGTGTTGCAGCAGGAGATTACCCTACACAGCCAGCGACTTGGGGTGAATCTATTATTAACAAATTAATAGTCATTTGTGCAGCAGAGGGGAATTACTCTTGTGCAGAATTTAGAGTACATTGCATGTGAAATCTGCTATCAATTTCATCTTCTTGCCACTTTTCCGCCAAAGTTGCAGCGCATACACAGTTTGCGAGCTCCCGTAGCAGCTGCACGCACATAGAGACAAAAGTTAATGTATTCACTCATCCATTATTAAGAGAAGGTAATGTAATGACCTTAAAAGCCCCAGAGTAGTTCCTGGAAATCCACATTTCAATGATCAGCCAATTAAACCCCAGAAACAGTACCAAGGTGGCATTTTCATCACTCGAAACTTGCAGCCATGATGTCATTCGCGTGGACCCGTGACAGCAACATTTTGGGAAAAATGACATCTTTTCAGCCATCAAAGTTGTGACTTTCATCAGAACTAAGGATCGATTTTGATTCTGTGCCTTGCTGTCGTCATTGCGTTTGTGAGTGGCTTGTGTATGTCAGTTTTCTTCTTAATATTTGGTCGCATTAGTGACCTAATCGCTTGCCAACAGAAGTGAATCCAGCAGAAGTGCAAATGCTTTTAAATCCAAATCTAGATCTTGCACTGTACATTAAAAAAAAAAAAAAAGTCATTTATATTTCTTGCTCTCAAAGCTTGCTGTCGAAATGGACGCTGCCTTCTTTTTTGGAGCACATCATTTCTGAACTAATGGAAAACGTAGAGGCATGACGACATGGAAATTGGACCACCTTGCAGGTGCTTCACTTCTCATAGCTGACATATTTGATTAGCGGATGGAAAAAAAAAAAAAACAGACAGAGGTTAACTAAGGAGCGTCATTAGGTTGTCTTAAAGTATTAAAGGCTCTACACAATAAATTCAAACTATAATTAGAGTGATGATAACGTACACAATTAACGAAGACTATTTATGGACCTTCACAGTATGGTGACAGCATCAGGAAAAACTCTTGTTGAAGTGACATTTTGACAGGAGAGGAGGGTATGGATCCAAAAGTAGAAACAAATGTGCTTTGTTTGAAACCAAAACCCCTTTTCCACATTAAAAAATAAATAAAAATAAGCGAGTCATGGTTGTGGTATGGTCCTATTTTTATAAGTCTACTACTTAGAGGGATATGCTCAAAATTACCTTTCGCAAATGAAAAAAAGCCACAAACAGAATGTAGAACACACAAAGTATCAGCTGAAACAAGTCCAATATTTACTCAGGCATATGAGTCTGAAGTGTGTGTGTGTGAGTGTGTGCACGTGCGCGCTTGTGTCGGTGTGTGTGCGTGCATTTGTGGACGCTCGAGGGGGATTTCTGTTTTAAGTGGGTCAAAGTGGGGTTAGCCTCGTACTACTGTTTACACTCGTATTCTTACATCATTGCTGTCAACTGTAAAGGCAGAGCGGGTGGAAAAGGGAAGGGGGAGGGAGGGCGGGCGGCGGGCAAAAGGGGAAAACAGAAGGTGACGCTGCCACCGCATAGGGAGGAGGAGAACAAGAAGATATGAAGAGAGGAGAGCTGATTAAAAGGAAAAAAAAAAGAGTCGTAAAACATCAGAGGCAAACGAAGGAGTGCTGCGAGTGCATCCTTTCATTTGAGGATCCCTCCCCTCCCCCCCACCCCTCACTCCATTGTCTCAAAATCCCATTTCCCAGCTAATTTAGAAGCTTCTAAAATATACTCCGCTCCATACCTTAAGCCTAAGGCCACGACTAATCCCGTCTCCGCACACACATTTGCGCGAGCGTGCACAGAGGCGCGCACTCCATTCATCCTCCGCGCTTTTCAAAAGACTTCATCTTGGCGTAGTGGAAACGATTGAAGGATATTGAAAGCAAGCGTTTGAAGTACATGAGGGAATGCAGGGGAATCAAACTGTGAGCTAAATGCTATTAGACAGCTGTGTGCAGAGCCAGTGTAATATTAGATTTGATTGAATAGATGACTGCTGAATGTGGTGTAATATATAGAGCCGGAGAGGCTTTACGCGGGCGTAAATCAATATTGCAGCACTGCGTTAATCTCAGTCGCATGAAGACAGCGAATGCGACGCTCAGAAATGGTGAACGCTGACACTTGTTTGGAATATGCGGGCCTGCTTGTTCCCGCTTCAAATGCGGCTTGTACGCCAGCGTGATGCTCGCCTTTGTTAATCCCAGAATTCAAATGTTCATTTCCTCAAGGGTGCGGGTCAAAGGCGTCCCCTGAAACTGTCAGATATTCAAAAGACGCGTCGTCTTTTTTTTTTTTTTTGAAAGGGATCGCTGATCCAAAAAGTGATCCAACATCACATAGCGACAGTTTTTTTTTTCCTCCGTTTGACATTTTTCATCTTTCACATCATTTATGAAATGCACTTGGCCTTTTTGACTGGCTGCGCTACTGAATTTTGAACTCCACATTCAAGGAAGAGGTGAGGTGAACTGTTGCCTCCCTTTACAATCTGCAGGGCTGCCTGTCTTCAGCAATAGAATTCAAGACGTGATGAAAGAAACTTAAAAAAAAAAAACGCGACAACCGAGCCACACCATCCAACAAAACAGGAAGTAGAACAAATATGCAGTTTGAAATTAAGATCAATTTGCATTAAATCTGCCTTAATCTCTTTTTGGAGGTCCATCAATAAAAAGGGGACTGAGCCTATCATGCTCTAGATCAGCGGCAAGCAAGCGCTACACCGAGGCTAGTGGGTGCCATAGCCTGTCCATCAATAAAAAGGGGACTGAGCCTATCATGCTTTAGATCAGCGGCAAGCAAGGCGCTACACCGGGGCTAGGGGGTGCCATAGCCCGGTCAGAAATCTGTGTAGCCCCACGTAGATACATTTTGACAGACCAGCATACAACTCACCATTAATCCATTCGGATGAACATCACAGAGATGGGCATTCCGTCCCTCGGACAGACGTACGGCCATTTTTGGGACGGGGCCAAAAAGTGTTTAAAAAGGATTAAGCAATGACGGAAGTGGGCCAGAGTGGAGCCAAACACTGTATTTTCTTAACAGGCTATTTCATCTCAAGCGTATTTTTATAGCAACACTGCCACCTAACGTACACTCAGATAACATAACAAAGTGCCTACGGACACCCATTTTACTATCAATCCAGCCGATTGAGAAAGCTGGCTGTGTTGTCTGTCTCTCGGTACCCGCCCACCATGGGACGGAAGCGCTTTAAAAGCACGAGGACGCGGACGAAGAACGTATCGGGATATTAGGGTAAAGTGCCCATCTCTGGGTAGTCGTAATTAGTAGGAGCCCTAAGCTTGTTTGTCCTCAGCGTGCGAGTCCCGTCTTGGAATGATCTTTTCTTTATTTCATAAAAAAATTATAAAGATTTATCTTTTAATATCGGCCACCTGCACCATCTTTTAGGTAGGGTCCCACTTCGTAGATATCTTTTAGCACCGTAAAAACATCGCAAAAAAAAGTCAGCTCGTGCCATTATTCTCCGCCATAAAATACCACCGTTAAAAGGCTGTGATAGCACCTCTTTGATCAACTCAATAAACTGCCACAACAGTTTAGGACATTATCTTTAGATTATTGATATCAAAGAGGCTTCCTACTTTTATAAACAACAGAAAGGCATGGGGGTTATTGGTCTGGCCGGAAAACTAAGCCCTCATGCCAATATCGGTTTATGTCAACGTTCTCTTACTGCCTGTGACTGTGGTATAAAATAAAGAAAGAAAGAAACAATAACCAAAAAAATGACTGACACGTTTGTGTGCATTTGAAAGCTTTCTGGAAGTCTCTTTTAAAATTTTAGTATGCGTGATATGTGTTGTAAATGAATCCAGGCTTCAAGTATAATACGTTGCCCTGGGTGCTTGACATACAACAGCAAAGTGCTTAAGATGACCAGATAATCTATCCATTTATTAGCTAGCAGGCGGTCGGCATTTACGAGGAAGCCAATTTTCATTTAAATTTGTGGAGTGGTTGGTGTCGACCAAGGGAAAGTAGGTTATAGTTTAGTGCAGATTCTAATAAAACCACAGTAGGTTGGCTTTTTATATTTCTTCACTTTGCAATTAACAAATAATAATAATAATAATGGGGAAAAACAGGTAGCGGAAGACGCATTTGGTCGGTTTTTCAAAATAAGTATCATTTGGTTTTGATCCAATCCAGAGAGTGTCATTTGCTTGTCATCCCCTCAATATCTGTCTGCTTTTCTCCCCACATCTATTTCTCTCCCCCTTGTGCCACCCTGCTCCTCTTCATCAGCACAGCCTCCACC